GAGTGTGGGTTTTCACGGTGGCAACCTGCCTTCCTCCTGCCTGTCCCTCTGCTCCGTGCTGACCCCGGGTTTCTCTGGTGGCAGGAGAAGGATGTGCCGCCTTCGTGGACATGACCCCCCTGGTGCTCAGCACGGCGGCCGTGTCGGGCCTCCCGCTCCTCACCATCTTCCTCTGCTGTGAGTCTTCTTCAGCTCTTCATCCCACTCTGCTTCATCACCTCCCAGCGCCTCCTGCCAGGCGAGCTGGGCTCCCTCTGTCCCCACCCGTCAGGCAGCCCGTGAGTTATTCAAAAGTGGTTTATTTGGCTCTTGTGAGGACACCAAGAGCTCTCCATTGCCTGTGTCCCTTCCCTGGTGAGCCCCAGCCGCCACACCCCAAATACAATATCCCATCCCTTGCCCCTGGTGCCTCTCCCGTGTTTTCCTGGAGGCTGGGATTTGTCCTCTTGCAGATCACATGACGCAGTGGAGGCGGGAGGACTGCGACTTCTCTTCCACGGACAAGGCGAGGTAGATCCTCTGTTCCCGTTTTCCACGTGAATTCACACTGTCTTGAAGTGAAAAGAGTGGATATGGAAATTATCCTGTGCTTTGGTTTAAGTCCTGGGCCCCAAGAAAGATGCAGACCTGGTTTCATAGCATCCAAGTACGGTTTGGGTGGGAAGGGACCTTAAAAATCACTCGGTCCCACCCCTTTCCATGGGCAGGGACACCTCCCACTAGCCCAGGTTGCTCCAAGCCCCGTCCAACCTGGCCTGGGACACTTGGGGCAGCCACAGCTTCTCTGGGCAACCTGTGCCAAGGCCTCCCCACCCTCACAGCCAGGAATTCCTTCCCAATATCCCATCCCACCCTGCCCTCGGGCAGTTCTCACCCCAGCACGAGGGATCTCAGCCACACCTTGGGGCTGTTTGGGTTTAACCACCCCCTGTGCCCTGCAGGAAAGCCCCCCAGGCCATCACACCCTCCTGACCAGCTTCTCTTTGCCCCAGCCAAAACCACTGGAGGTACAGAGGGGTGAGAGTCACCCCCACAGCCGGGTGTAGGGTCTTGTGCAAGGGTGGGCAGGGAGAGGGACACACCAGAGCCCCTGTGGATCCGCCAGAGCCCGGCTCCAGCAGTGCTCAGCGTGTCCCCTCTGCTCTTCCTTCCAGGTCCTTCGAAATGTCTGGCACCATGGACATCATTCCCAGCTGATGGAGATCTTCTGGGGTGTTTCTCACTTGGCTGAGTCAACCCCAGCCTTCCCCAAGGTTTAGTGGGTTCAGGGCTCTCAGTGTCAGATCCCCTACAACATTCATAATAAATGTCAATGAAATTAACCCATTTTTGCCTTTGTTTTTGAATAAAACAGTCCCAGGGGAGGCCAAATGCACATTTTCCCCTTTCTCCATAAAACCAAGGCCTGAAGTAGAGAAGCACTTTTAGCAACAGCTGCAGGAGTCTCTCTTTATTTAACATTTGTGGGTAACCCCAAGCATCCACCTCACCCCACCCTTCCCATCCATCCACGTGTCACTTTTCACCCCCTGGGCAGGTGACTTCAGGGCATGTTTTGGGGTGTTCTCCCCCTAAATCCACATGCCCCTCTGCTGCCTGTCCCCTTTAGTCTGGGACAGCATCTCCAGGGGACCAGCCCCCCACTGGGAGGTTTGGGGGGCCAGGATCTGGGTGCTGCCTACACAGCAGGGCAGGGCAGGGCTCACTCCTTATGGCCAGCAGGAACCTGGATCCCTATCCACTCTATTTTTTTTTTGCTCTTCCTCCTTGGATTTTCCTGCTTGAACAGGCAGCATCACATTCACATCTCAGCCCCCCGCTTCCCTCCTTCCCACGTAGGAAAAAAATCACAGTTCCCGGGCCTCTCGGATCAAGAAAATGGGGGGAAATCCTGTTTTCTTCACTTTTCCCGGACCCCTCTCCAAACAACCTGCCTTAGGAGGAGAATGCAATGAGTATCAGGAGCTGAGTAAGATGGAGACTTAAGAAAAACAGACATTAAAATGAAGAGCAGGGGGTTGGACTCGGAGCACTCCCTGGTTTCAGCCCCGGATAAGCGATGGCTTGTGGCAGGTTTGGCCACTGGGACACAAGAAAACCACAACCAGCAGCTTCACCCCTGAGTGGTCAGAGTCTGGCAGGTTTAAGGGCTATCAAACCACAGGAGGCCTCAGAGGTCAGCATGGCCTTGGCACCAGCTAATTGCCAACTGCTAATTGCACAGAGCAAATGGGGCAGCGGAGAGAGTCAGGGATGAATTAACCCCTGGACGTACCAAGGATCTCCAAAACACCCAGGAGGTCTATGTCATGCTCAGCTTCTTGCTGGCACCTGTGATCGTGCCTGTATTAGAGAGAGGAGGGGAGAATTCACCATTTCTCTGGCTTTTTTAAGTATTTTTTTTTTTTTTTTTGGTTTCTCCCATCCCTATATATTCCTGCAACTGGGCCCCCAGGGGAACCTCACAGCCAGTCCAAGGGGAATGAACAGGAATTGATGGGTCCTGCTCTTTGCAAAGGGGATTTTCTCCCTCCTATAAGAATCTCTGATTATTGCTGGGTGGAAAGGAGCTTCCCTGGAGGCCATGGGCCATGTTTGTACATCCCTGAGCCTTCTGCTCTGTCTTCCTGGGAACAGTAAATTTGATTTATTTATTGACTTTGTGTTTGCTGAGCCCTTGTCAGCAGTCTCTGGCCTTCGTCTAATATCATTAAGGTTAAAAAAAAAACAGTGGCTGATTGAATCTCTCAGGCTATACCAGACCTGCTGAGGGCATGAGGCTGCTCAGGACCATGGCCAGGAGGCTTTTGGATGCTGACAAGCATGGAGAGGCCACAAGCTCCCTGGACAATCCATGTTATCTCCTGGTCATCCTCACAGTAAGGCAGTTTTCCTGTATTTGGGGTGAATTTCCTTATTAATGTGCCCATTGCCTCTTGGCCTGTCAGTGGCACCAGTAAAAATTCTGTCTCACTCTCCTTTACAAGCCCCTTTAGATATTTATCCCCCTTGACGAGACCCCTGAGCCTCCCCCAGCTCTCCCAGCCTCTCCTTGGACAGGGGATCCTTCAGCACCTGGATCACCCCTGTGGCCCTTTGCTGGACTCTCTCCAACCAGCCCATATTCCCAAGGTGCTGAGGAGCCCAAAACCAGACCCAGTCCCCAGCTGGGGACTCACCAGTGCTGAGCAGAGGCAAAGGGTCCCCTCCTGTGGTGTCACAGAATCACAAAGGCTCAGAAAGACCCCCAAGATCATCGGGTCCAACTGTGATGCTCCTCCTTATGCAGCCCAGGACACTGCTGGCCACCTTTGCCTCGCTGGATCGTGGTGTCCACGCTCGGTATGATGTTCGTGGTCCACGTGGTGTCCATGCTCAACATGATGTCCCAACTCAGCCTGGTGTCCATGGCCCTACAATGCCCCATCCTGGGCAAAATGTGCTCCGAGGATTTGGTGCCAGTGTGTGAGCGGCTGATGGAGCAGCCAGAAAGGCTGTAACAGGAACAATCCTGGCAGAAGATGCCTGCTGAGATGCCTGGATGCTGAGATATCTGGCAGCCAGGGCACTGCCAGCCCGGGAGCCAGCACATCCCTGAGGATGCATCCGGGAAGTGCCACTGGGTGCTCAAGATCGGCCCCAGACACCCCGAGGAGCACGAAACCAAGAAACAGCAGCAACAAACATCATCTGGAAAAGGGAAACTGAGTTTAAAAAGGTAGACAACGGTCTGGGAAAGCAGGAAGAGGCAAAGGGTCTTGGCTGTTCCAGCTGGAGGATGAGAGAAAGGGCCCAGGGAAGCAAAAACAGGTCTGAGAAAAACAGGAAATCGGATTATTTGAGGCAGTTTCCAGGTGCAACAGAAAGACCTGCTCCAGGGAGTGGTATCCTGCACCCCCTCATGTCACTACACCACCAAAAATCACTCACTTCCTACCCAAAACCAGCCTCCCCCTGCAGGAATTTCTCTACCTGAGCTGCGACCCTGCTCGGGAATGATGGCCTGACCCCAGATTCCAACATGGATCATCCTGCAGGAGACTCTGTCCAGCAGCAATTGGCCTGGCTCCTGGAGTGGTTGGATGAGCACTCCACTAGTGAGACTGCCACTAACACCTGTATATAATATATAGGTATTTGTGTAAGGGATTAACCATAGATACACACGGTGGGAGCACGACATACACACATGAATTGTGAGTAATCCTGTAGTAACTTGAAATGCCCACTCGCTTTACCAGTAGTAAAGGTGGAGGAAGGACACAAAGGCACAAACCAAGGACGGGAGGAGATGGATGCTGCCAAGATCTCTTCCCCAAGTACATCCCAGCACATCTGACACACTCCAGGATACAAACACAGGGATTTATTTACTCGGGGCACGTTTAAACTCATCACTTTATACACTCCATACTCAGCCTTTCCCAGAGGCTGCTTCCAATGCACTGTGTTTCCTACAGCCCAGACGTGCTTTTCTGACCACAAACAGCTGCTGAGCACAAACCCAAAGGCCACCAGATGAACCCCAGAGGTGAAACCTCCCCAAAAATCCCCCCCTTCCCGGGCTGGCCCTGGGGCAGCCCCAGCCGTGCTTCTTGGGAAGCGGCTCTTCCCTGGGTCGTGCCAGGTCTCCGTGACTCAGGGAACTGAGACAGGTTAAAAATACCCTCACCCAGAGCTGGAGCAGAGTTGCTGGGTTGTTTTTAACCCCAGCTGAGTGTCTCAGGCTGTCACTGCCACAGGGGTTGGGTGAGGGAGGGGATGGGGATACAGGAACCCCACAGCAGCAGCAAATGCCCTTCCCAGCACAGCAGAGCTGGGCAACAGGATAAATCCAGCATTCCCACGTCTGCCACCAGCTACAACCCACCCCCAAGGGCTGACACTCACATGGGGGAGCACATTCCACTGCTACCACAGGCTCCAGATACCCCGAGGGGGCATTTTCCACCCCTAAGCCTCACGGGGATGACGTGTGATAACAGGGATATCCACTGGGATAACGTATATGCTTTTATTAGCAGTAAGAGACACTATAAAAAACACAAAGTCTCCAAAACAATTTGCAGGCAACTCTCTGAAATACTTAGAAAAATGTTATTTGTAAAACTGTGTGGCTGCTTTTCACACCTGCAAGTGCAACAAGGAACATGACAACCTGCCCTGAAGCCTCCAACGAGGCTGGAACCCCAAACCACCCAAACTCTTTTGCTTCCTTGAATCGCTCCAAGAAACCCCAGGTTGAGAGCCTGACTATCCCAGTGATCTCTCCCACCATTTCCCAATTTGCTCCCAGAAAGAGGTGTAGGAGAGCTCAGGGATGGGATTTGAGCCTCTCCCAGGAGAATTTCTGTTCTCTGAGAAAGGATAACCCTGGGGAGAGGGAACCCCCCGCTGCCCTGGCCAGGAAAGCTCTTGCAGCTCTTCAGGCAAGACCCCAGCACAGAAACACCCCCCAGACTGGTGGCTCGGAGCACAGAGAGGTCCCCAAGTGACCAGGACATCCAACACCCCTTCCAGAGGTGCTGGGGACCGGCTCAGGGTTGTCCCCATCGGACTGAAAGGGGGGTACAAACACCTCGGGGTCCAGCACCCCAGGAGAGCATCCAGTTCTCTCCAGGGGGGAGATGCTTTCTATAGGAATGACATTCCCTTCACAGCAAAGCCCAGGAGAGCCCTGTGGACACAGCACAGGGATGGAGGGGACAGGAGGACAGGAGGGGACAGGTAAGGCTGACCTGGCCATATCCAAGGCTGCTGTCACTTGTTGGAGCAGCAAACAGGAAGCACAAGCTGGCACTGACACATGGTCAACCCAGCTGGCTCATGTTGGGAAGAGGATGGATGTCTTCAGGGATGTCCCCTGATCCTGCCAGAGCCCAAAGAGAACAGAGGAGATGGGCTCGGGAGCATCCCACCATCGTCCAGCAGCAGGGATTTCTTTGGGATTTGCTTTTGAAAACTGAACTCCTTTGCTGTTCCCCCATTCCCTGCCACCTTCCACTGCCTCCCTCCCCTCCTGGATGCACAAACAGCAAAATCCTGCCCTTTTCCCTCCCTCTGAGGGTCAAAGGGAGTGGAAAGCCCACAGAGCGCCCCTGGCAAGCCCCTGGCACAGCAGGGCTGGCACCAAACAGCATTTCCCAGCATCCCCAGGACTGTGGATTTGCCCAGTGTGGATGGTGGCTCTTCCCAGAGCCATGAGCCCACCCAGGCCTCTGGAGGAAGCCAGGAGAGGGATGGAGAGATGAAGCAGGCACAGCTGTGCCCATCTCCTTCAGAGACGCGCGAGGGGCCCTGGGAAAGAGCAGGACAACACAAATAGTCCAAGCCGGTGTTTTCCAAAAAAATTTGTGGGTTTCAGCAGCTTGAACACCTCAGAGGTGAGCCTGGGAGAGGCTGGGACTGGATGGGACACCCAGCATTCCCAGCAACGTCCATCATCAGGGAAGGGCAGCGAGGGAACAGCTGAGGCAGCTCTACCTGCAAGGAGAGGAGAGGTTCTCATCTGAGCCATGTCCCGGGCATGGATCCTCCATCTGCTGCTCACCTGGACCCCTCCAAGGCCTCAGGCAGCTCAGGGTGTCCCATGCTGGCAGTGGCAGTGCCAGAAGGTCTGGAATTCTGCTCTGCTCCAAACTCCACGAGGTACCTTGGCGAATTTATCCCCGGGAGGAGTTACCTGGGACCTACCTGGCTGCACAAGGCACCTGAGAGCTCTCTTGTTTTCAACCAGCAGCAACGTGGGATGGGTTTTCCATCCTTAAGGACCCACTACTCTCTAGGAAGCTCTAGTTAACAGCCCAAGTGTGTGCGTGGTCACACAGAGTGAGTGACTTCTGAGAACATTTAGAGAGTCACTTGCTTCCCAGAAATTTCTGGAGTATTCAAAACCCCACTCATTAAAGAGCATATTCCAGAGCTAAGATAACCAGGAGCATCAGGCTCGGGGGGGAGGGAATCAAGAATATTTCCAGAGTAAATCCCAGCCTAAATCACAGTGGGGATTAAAAAGGGGAGGACAGCAAATCCTCTGAGCCTTCAGAGTGGGGAGAGCAGCCCCTCCACTGCCTCTTACCAGGAGAGGCTGGGATAGCACTCCAAGCTCCCTCATTTCTCCAGCTTGCTCCGATCCAGCCAAGGACAGACTTGGGCTTGTAGATAGTAAGTTTTGGCTGGAGAAGCAGGGCCACCCCCAGGAGGGGGCTGGAGGCATCTTACCTACAGAGCCGAAATGGCTGCTCCGTTTTCCTGCACCAGACGAAGATACCTGGGGATAAAAGCAGCCATCAGCATCATCCCAGAATGGTTTGGATTGGAAGGAACCTTAAAGCCCATCCAGTTCCAATCCCCTGCTATGGGCAGGGACCTTCCCCTAGACCAAGTTGCTCCAAGCCCCATCATCCCCATCTCCATTAAACACCCTGCTCCAGGTGGGAAACCTCAACCCAGGAGTGTCCACCAGCCCTTCCCGACACAGGGCTGGGGTTTGGGGTATGGGGGAGACCCCCCCTGCCCAACCCCACGGTGCCCCACAGGTCCCAGTCCCATCAACAGCCAGGGAGGGGACCAGCCACCAGCTCTGGCCACGTGTGAGCAGGGAGAAGGGCAGTGTGATGGGATGAGCAGAGCAGGAGCACAGCCAGGAGCTTTTCCAGCACCTCCCCAGTGCCCCGAGGCTTTTCACAGGAAAAACCTGAAATCTTTGTGCAACAACAAAACACACCTACAACCCCCGGGGAGAACCTCCCACTCCATTCAAACCAGATCCAGGTCCAGGTCCAGGCTTGGGTGGTTCTTGGGGTTTTTTTGTCCCTCAGTTGGCAATCTGAGAATTAAAATCCCCACTTCGCCAGCAATTAGGGATGGGATGGGATGGGATGGGATGGGATGGGATGGGATGGGATGGGATGGGATGGGATGGGCCAGAAGACACTCTCCAGCTCCAAAAAAGGAGGAAAAGCAAGACTGGAAGCACATTTCCCTTCTGAGGGTAGAAAACCGCAGCAGAGCACGGTGGGGGGTTCGGGGTTGTCACCCTAGAAGGGATGCGTGACCTCCCCTGGCAACCACGGGGTTTTGTTGGAGGCTGGCCCAGATCAGGACAGTCAAATATAACCTCCTGCCTGTTCTGGATGTGCAGGAGGGGTTTTCATGACAACCTTCCCTCTTGTGCCCAGGGGGGGAGGGAGGCAAAGGGAAGCAAAAGAGGACAACGGAGGACAGCAGGACCTCCTCGGATTGGGGACACCCTGCCTGAAACAACAGCTGGGACAAAGCCCAGCTCCTGCCTGTAGGGTGTAGGGTGGCAAGGCCAGGTCCTGCCACACGGTGCCCTTCTGGTGCACAGCACCTGCCACAGCACCCACCAGCCAGGCAGCAGGCAGGGTAAAGGGTCAGCCCAGCACCCACCAGCTGCTCCCCAGCACCCACCTGCGAGGCAGCCGACCACCACGCACGCCAGGACCACGGGCAGCACCACGTTCGCCGAGTCTGCAAAGGGGAGAACCCTCATCCTCTGCACCAGAGGAAATTCAACCCCCCGCCCCCTCCAAGCAAGAACCTGCCCATGCAGCACAGGGAGACGGGGGGGCAGCAGGAGAGACAGGATCCCTCTTTGGGGGCTGTTTTCCCCCGTTTCTTTCCCTGGGCAGGGGGAAGGAGCCCCCACTCACGGTGGACATGGAGCAGGAAGGAGGTCTCGTTCTGGCTCACGGCGTTGCGCACCACGCACGCGTAGTACCCGCTGTCCCTCATCGACACCCTGACGATGCACAGCGTGCTGTTGTCCTCAAACTGGATGCGGTCACTTCCCAGAAGCAGCTTCCCATTTTTCTTCCACCAGTACAAGTCTGCCTTCCCCTTCAGGACGTTGCAGACCAGTTTGGTGTCGTCTCCTGCCTTCACCGACGAGTTGCCCACGATTTCTGGCTCGGACAGCGGTTCTGGGAGAGACAGGCGGACTGTCAGCGGGCAAACCCGCGGCTGCGCGGATGCCCGGCCACGGAGGAGGGTTGGCCGTGGCATCACTCACCAACAACGTACAGCTGGAACCAGTCCGTGGCCTCCTCCTCGGAGCTGAGGCGGTACAGCCGCCCGTCGCCGCGCCGCAGCACCATCTGCAGCGAGAAGTTGGTCTCGTTGAACCTCGTGCGGTTCTCGTAGGGGCGAGCCGTGCTGGGGGGCCGGTCGAAGGCATAGCGGAGGATGACGCCCTGCTCCACGCCCGCTCTGTATTCCCAGGACACCGCTCTGCCCACCCGCAGCCGGGGCACCGTGAGCAGCACGGTGCAGCCCACGGCCGAGACCAGGCGCCCCGAGGCTGGGCTGAGGTCGGCCGAGTAGCACGGAGCGAGTGTGCGGGCTGGAAAAGAAACCAGGGGTGACTCCACGGCTACAGAGATCCCACTTCACCCACCGGGGATGAAGGAGGTGCTGCAGGAACCCTTCCTGGCTCAGCTGCTCACAAACAGTGGGGCCGAGGAGGGGATTATTTATAGAATCATGAATCATGGAACGGTTTGGAAGGGACTTTAAAGATCAGCCAGTCCCATGGGCAGGGACACCTTCCACTAGCCCAGGTTGCTCCAAGCCTCGTCCAGCTCAGCCTTGGACTCTCCCAGGGATGGGGAGTGTTGGAGGGCAATGTGTGCCAGGGCTTCACCAGCCTCACATGGAAGAACTTCTTCCCAATATCCCATCTGACCCTACCTTCACCAAGAAACCATTCCCCCTTGTCCTGTCACACCAGGCCCTTGTCCCCAGTCCCTCTCCAGCTCTCCTGGAGCCCCTTTAGGCCCTGCAAGGGGCTCTCAGGTCTTCCTGGAGCCTTCTCTTCTCCAGGTGAACCCCCCCAGCTCTCCCAGCCTGGCTCCAGAGCAGAGGGGCTCCAGCCCTTGGGGGGGCCTTCTCTGGACTTGCTCCAACGGCTCCACATCCTTCTGATGTTGTTCCCCGGGGCTGGAGGCAGCTCTGCAGGTGGGGTCTCACCTGGGGGGGCAGAGGGGCAGAATGCCCCCCTGCCCTGCTGCCCACGCTGTGGGCATTCAGCCGTGTTGGCCGGGTCGCGTTGAGCTTCTCACCCACCCAGACCCCCAAGTCTTTAAGCAGCGACACGGAAAGGCTCCTCCCACGTTACAGGGGACAGACCCCGGGGGACGGAGCTGCGGGACCCCCCGGGCAGAGCCCACCGCCCGCGGGGCCCTGCCGGGAAAACGCGCCGAGAGCCGAGAAAAGCCGCAAGTCCCTTCCCGACCTTCCTCTAAAAGCTTTTCCCCGGGATTAAGGCGTGCCCGAGCCTGGACTCGCCTTGGCTTCTTAAAACAGGCGCCAGGAGCAGCCCCCCAGAGCCGGAGGGCTCGATGCTGCGGGAGGGGCCCCCGCCCGCCTTTCCCCCCGCGCTCGCCCCCGACTGGTCCCAGCTCAGCAAAACCTGCCCGGAACGCGCCGGGTGAGACCCGCGGGCACCCCCGGAGCGTGACCGACCCCCAGGCGGGGGCATCGCGGGTATTTCCCCCGCTCCTCCCGGGGCAGAGACTCGCCTGTGATCCCCGGGCCGGCTGCCGCGCTGCCGGGGGCGAGGAGGAGGAGGAGGAGGGAGAGGAGGAAGGGGAGGAGGGGGACGGGGAACATCTGCGGGGCCGGTACAGCGGCGGCTCCGCCACGAGACTCGGGCAGATCCGTTGGGGCGGGACCGGGCGGTTCCGGGCGGTTCCTCGCCTCTTCCTCCTCCTCCTCCTCCTCCTCCTCCTCTCCTCTCCTCCTCCCCCCCCCTTGCTTGCTCTCCTCCTCTTCTTCCTCCTCCTCCCTTTCTCCCTCCTTCCCTCCCTTCCCCTCCTCACCTTCTTCCCCTCCTCATCCTCCTCATCCTCCTCTTCCTCCTCTCTTCTCTTCCTCGTCTCTTCCTCCTTTCTTCCTCCTCTCTTTCTCCTCCTCTCTTCTTCTCTCTCCCCTCTTCTCCTGCTCCTGTCTTCCTCTTTTCCTTCTCTCCTCTCCTCCTCCTCTCCTCTTCCTCTCTTTCTCCTCGCCTTCCCTCCTCTCCCCTCCCCAGGACATCCAAACCCAACCCACAGAACCCCCCCAAGGCCCTGGGCGCTGCCTCCTCCTGCCCCTCCCGTACCTGTCACGGGGCAAACGCCCCAAATCCCAGCACAGAGGCACTGAGGGAATGGCCTCACCCCATCCCCTGCCCCCGGGGGTCCTTCACGGGGCAAAGGATCCCACCACAGCAACAAAAACTGGGGATTAATCATTTCCTGGAGCAGTCCTCCAGCTCCAGGGAGGGCTGTGGGAAGGACGGGACCGCGGCTGGGACATAAAGATCCCGCTGCTCCCCCAGGAGGTCATCACGGAATGTTCCGTGGGGAACAGATGGGGAGGGAGAGGGTGTTCTCCTCCTTCCCTCGGTGGTTTCCATCACTTGGGCAGCTTGGGAGGGTGAGGAGGGCACAAACAGATGTTTTGTGGCAGGAAAAGCCTACGTGGTGCTTTGGGAGGCTGGAGGCTGGGAAACCAACCCATGAGATATATAGATGAATAAATATAGATTAGATAGAGATATAAAAATAGATATAGGCATAAACAGATAGATATAGGTAGATATATAGATAGATATAGATATAGATGATATAGATAGATATAGATATAGATATAGATATAGATATAGATATAGATATAGATATAGATATACTAGATGCAGACATAAAAACCTCAGCCAAGCCAAACTGGTTTGAGTACCCTGGGCAGGAGATCTTACTGCTGAAGGCAGGCTCAGACACCCTTCTTGACACCTATTCCTGGCCCCCAGCAACCTCAGAAACACAACAAACTCAACACCCATCACCTCTGGGTCCCCTTGGTCCCTATCCAGAGGGACATTTTTCCCTGGAGGAGCGTGGCTTGGCAGCCTGCACCCCCTCAGAGGGGAGATGCTGAGCCAGGATCACCAACGTGGGTGAAAGCAGTGGTGTCGGGTGCTCCCAGGGCAGGCGAGAGGGGTCACACACCTGATGTGGCTGCAGCTGGGAACAGGATGAATTCACAACTCCTGGCATTGTGTGTGCACAAAACACCAGGGAGAGCAGGGCTGGGGGTAGGATGGAGCCACCACACCCGAAAAAGCCTCGCACGAAGCTTTTGGGGTGTCTCGTGGGGGATGCTCTGCTCCCTCCGTGGGTACCAGACCCCTCCAGGACCAACAAGGGGAGCGTGGCTGCAGGGACAGGGGCTGGAGCAGGGACCAGACCCAGCATGGCCAGAGGAGGATCTCCAGAAGGACATTAAGAGGAGGAAAGTGGACTCAGGCAGGAGCCACGCAGCCATCCCACTAGAGGGAGTGAGGAGATCAGCTGTCCGAGGAGCGAGCTGAAGTGCTGGGATGAGGGAGCCCAACCCAGGGAAGGAGCTGCAGCAGAAAATCATCCCCTGCTGGAGCCTGGGGTGCTCCTGGCCAGGGCATGTGTGTCTTGGAGCTGCTGTCCCGCCTGGGGGTGTTCCAGAGGATATTGCTGGGTCAGCAGCTTTAGGGTTCTACATCCCTTGCTGGTCTGAGGCTTCATGGGGCTCCTCCACCCAAACTCCCACGAGCTGCACAGGAGCTGCCTGGATCACTATGGAATGTCCCTGATCCTCCTTCCCCTCTCTCCCTACCCCTTGGCTCCCAAGCTCCAGGTCCCCCCACCAGCCTGAGCTCAGCAAGGGCTGTGAGCACCAGCTTGTGCCCATCCAAGCCAACCTATCCTCTCCCACTTGGGGCCTGGCACGTGTGGGGCTGGAGCAGCTCTGGAGATGCCCTGGTGCCACCAAGCAGGGAAGGTCTCCATCCTCCCCGTGACAACAGGGACAAGCAAACCCTGGCCCCAGCTCCAGGTGGGGAGAGACCCAGGGAATGGCTGGGGGTGCTCCCAGGGTTTGGGGGAAAGAGGCTGGATCCTCATGGCTGATTCCTCCCTGTAGCAGCCCAAAGGCTGGGAGGGGCCAAAACTTGCTGCCCCTCCACCCTGCGCAGCCAAAGCCAGGTGTGCATCAACCCAAAATGTGCAAGGTTCATCCCAAAACAATGTTTCTGTAAGACAGAGGCAGGCAGGGAACACACACACGCTCCCCCCTACCCCTGTGAGCTCCCCCAGCAAGGGCAAGGGGCCTCTCCCAGCTCCACAGGCAGTGAATGGAGTTCAGCATCTTCACAAGGAGCTGGAGAGAGAATTCTGGGGAGGGGGAGGGAGGAGGGGATGGAAAAGTGCTGAGCCAGCAGGAAACCTGCAGTGGGAGGCTCTGAGTCAGCCCCAAGCATAGTTTCACTGAAACCACCCTCCCCAGCCTCCACATAGCTACAGATTCCTGGGAGACAAGGCAGAGGGTCTCTGCCCTCACACACGAGAGCTGGAGAGGGACTTTGGACAAGGGTCTGGAGTGATGGGACAAGGGGGAATGGCTTCCCGCTGCCAGAGGGCAGGGTTAGATAGGATGTTGGGAATAAATTCCCTCTGAGGGTGGCGAGGCCCTGGTACAGATTGCCCAGAGAGATTGTGGCTGGACACTTCCATCACTGGAAGTGTTCAAGGCCAGGTTGGACAGGGCTTGGAGAAACCTGGGACGGTGGAAGGTGTCCCTGCCCATGGCAGGGGTGGATGGAGGTGAACTTTAAGGTCCCTTCCAACCCAAACCATTCTGGGATTCTGATTCTATGGAACTGAGAGCCCAGGCTGGAGAGGGGGAAGCTGAGGCACAGAAGGGAAGGGAGCCAAGGCACCGTGAATCCTCTGGCTCTGCTGGGCCTTGGAATAAGGCTGGATATGGGAGCAAGGCTGGTCCCTGGCACCAGGAGAGGGCAGGGTAAGCCTGAGCCCAGCGCAGGGTTCCCAGAGGGTGCTTCACTGGTCAAGAAGGTGAGTTCATCCTGCACATCAGCTGGATCCACTGACCTTCCTGTTGGAGGTAGGGTGTGATGGGGAAGAGGTTTTTCCCTGAAAAACACCTTGACACAGGAACTGATCGATTCAAACCGAAAGACAAACATCTGAGGGCACATTCCAGGGAGGTTGCAGCAGCTCCTGAGCTGCACGCGATGACTCCACATCCCAGGGGCTGCTGTTTCCTGACAGAGGATCAGGATCGTGTGGCCAGCACATGTTTGGAATCCTCAGCTGCTGGAGCCAGTGCCAGGCTGGGCTTTGCTTAAAGGAGCAGCCACGGGGAGCTGAGACCTGGCTCTGGGGCTTCCCCTGGGAGGGATGTCTTACAGAGACCCAGCTTAGGGGGGTCCAGCCTTGGCCAACCCACAGACATTCCATAAAACATGGCAAATAACATAAATGGCACATTCCACCATCCTGCCTGAAGCAAACTGAAGTGAATCCAAGGGACAGGCTGGGAAATCCCAGAGATACAATTCCCATCTCCATGCAGGTATCCCCTGCTGGGTTTTTCCCCCGTCCCAGCCCCTCACTGGTGGCACTGGGAGGCTCCAACAAACCCCTCTCCCGCTCCCCTGCACTTGCTCTGCACAGCAGAGCACTGAGGAAACAGATTTCCAGGCTCCACTGACCCGGCTCTCCCAGTGCACAGACCAGGAAACATTAGAAGTGAAAAACAATTCCTCAGCCAGGACCGAGGCGTTTTTTTTCCCTGGCTCCCACCCAGTTTTCTCTGCACAGTTCCAGTTCTGGTCCTGCCCTGACTCACAGACAAATCTCCCTCCTCCAAGGCCCAGAGAGCAGCCCCAAGCTCCGGGTTCTGGTTGCTCCTGGCTTCCCTCTTCTCCTTGGCAGAGCCCAGCTGCATCCCTGCCCCATCTGATGGAGCAACACAGGGATCAGCGGTCCCAAGGTGCTTCAGAATGTACATCCATGTCCCACTTGCAAACCACGGAATCATGGAATGGTTTGGGCTGGAAGGAATCTTAAAGCTCATCTGGTTCCAGCTCCCTGCCATGGGCAGGGACACCTTCCCCTAGACCAGGTTGGAAAGTAGTTTGTTTCCCAGATGGGCCTTTTCCAGCTCTTCCCTCTCCACCTGGTTCTGCAGGCCCTGAGCCTTTTTCATGAGAACAACCAGGAGGGTTGATTTGTCATCGGATTTTTCAGACATAATTAGTCATCTGCCCCGAAACTCAGTGTGCTCCCCAAACTCCATGGAAGGCATCTCACCTGGGGAAACAGCTCCTTGCCAGGGCAGGGATGGTGCCACAACAGAGCAGCTCCGGGCTCTGGGCACCAGGTACACGCTGAGCTGGCAGACAAGGGGGAAAAAACACTCATGGGCTTGGCAGAGGCTTTGGGGTGGAAGATCCCTTTGTCTGAGGAGCATCCAGAGTGATGCAATATGGAGATGGAACGGGCAGGGGTTCCCCAGGGAGTTCAGCAGCCCATTCCTGCTGGAAAAGCAGAGGTGGTAGCGATGAGAGGCCAGCAAGCAGCCTGAGCTAAGAGGCTTTGGTTGGTAATAAATCAGTCCTCAGCCCTCTAGCCCTCAGCCCTCGTGTCTTCTGGGGTCCCCCCTCCTTCTCCCTGCTCCTGCAGCTTTGATCTGAGCAGGTTCCAGTGCAGCTCAACAGGGAACAGGGAACAGGGGGGAGTGCAGCCCCCAAACTACAGCAGTGTGGCCTTTTTTGTTTAAAGAGCAAGAGACAAAACCTTTCTGTTACCCAGAAAATGCCAGAAAAACACCAGCCTGCTTCCCATCCTCTGCCTTTGCCCATCACAGCCCACTGGAGACATTTGGAGACACTGGAAAGTGCAGTAACTGATTAGATCCGTGATGCAAAGGCATTAGTACAGCCCGGCCAAAGGCTTTTACAACAGCAACAAAAGCTGATAAAGTGACTAATTGCACCCTTTCCCACATCTGGGAGGTCATGAGGGCAGGTCAAAGGGCTCTGCACGGAGTCAGGGATGCCCAGGGGCCATCAAGAGCAGCTGCTGCCACAAACAGAGCCCAGAGTGCCCAGGAAAGGACGTAGAAAGGGGTCCAGAGTCACTTGTGGTGACCCCACGGGCTCCAATTCAGGCAGGAGGAAAGGCAGGAGCTGCCAGAGCCTTTGCCATGCTCTGCCCCATGTATGACCAGCTCGGACATTGGGGCCACCCCCATACTGCAAGTGGTGGCTGCATTTGGGGACAGGCAGGGGACCAGCCCTGAGCACCCCCTGACAAGGGGCATCTCCTCATGTCCTGGGGGGAGACCCCCAAACAGCCTCATGTTGCCTCATCATCACCCCCTGACCCACAGGAGGGTGGGCACTCCCCTCTCCTAACGTGGCGAAGAGCCTGGCAGTGCCACACAGACACCAACACCATCCCTAAGGGAAAAGAAAGCAGAAAAGTAGGACTGGAAGGATGCTGGGGAGGTTTTCCTTCAAACTCCTGCCCTGGCAGTTGTGGGAAGGGACAATTCCTGTCCCCCCACCCAAGCCCAAGGTGCTTAGAGACCTGAGAGGCAGATGCTGCTTCCCCTCAGCCCCACAAAGCTATCAGGAGAAGAGAAACTGGACCTGCTGTTTCTCTTTGAATTATCCCAGAAAATCCAGGCTTAAGGGCCAAATCCTGAATTGATGTTACTCCTGAGGTATCACAGATGGGTTAGAGCCCATCATGGATCACAGTCTGGCAGAGCTTTGGGTCTCAGCTCTCACCAAGGAGAGCAGCACCGAGGGGACCCCTGTGGGGGGTCAGCCCTGGGGGGCTCAGAGGAGCTCTGGTTTCACAGCCACATCTCAGTGACATGTCCCTGTGAGCTGCAGCGCTGGCCTGGAGACACTGAAGGGCCAGATGTCCTGGGAACGGGATGGCCCATGGGGCAGATACCTCCAGGGTGGCACTGGAGGTGTCTCACCCACTCCCGCCTTTCTGTTTGCTTTCCAAACTACTCCGAGTTTCCATTGCAGAGTGATGGGAGCGTGACCCACCTGCAGGACAGAGCTCTCAGGGTGCAGAGGGCAGCCCTGTGCCCAGTCCAGGTGGGCAGGGTGGGCACATTCCCCCAGCAGTCAGTCCCGGTGTCACCGCCTGGTCCCGGTGTCACCGCTCGGTCCCGGTGTCACCGTCGGTCCCGGTGTCACCGCTCGGTCCCCGCGGAGGCCCCGCCCCTCCGGCCGCAGGTCCCGCCCCCAGACACGCCCTCCGCCAATCGGCCTCGCCCCGGCCCCGCCCCCGCGGGTCGCTGCCGCCGCTCGGTGCCCGGGACAGCGGGACCGGGACAGCGGGACCGGGACAGCGGGACCGGGCCGGGCCATGGCCCCGCACCCGCCCAGCGCCGGGCACTACCTGCGCTCCGACAGCGGCGGCTCGGAGGCGCCCATGCTGGCGGAGGGTCCCGGTCCCGGCCCCGCTCCCGGTCCGGACGGCGGCCCCGGGGCGGTGCGGGGGCAGCGGCGGCGGCGGCGGTGCGGTCCCCTGTGGGGCAGCGTGGCTGTCATGGCCATCCTGGCAGTGCAGATCGCCTCCACCACCGGCCTCTTCGTCTACTTCACCATGGCCATCTCCAAGGTGAGCTTTGCCCCGCGACCCCCCGCCCCGTTTTCCGGGGGGGGCCGGGACCGGGAGGGAGTGCCGGTGGCTGCGGGAGGGCTCTGCCCGCTCCCCGCTCCGCGCCTCTGCCGGGCACGGCAGCGACCGGCACTGCCCCGGGCCCCCGGGAGCCGCGGATCCAGATGTGGAATGGGGGGTTGAGACCGTCTCCAGCTCCACAGGGAGCCGCGGACCCAGATGTGGGGGCAGGGGAGGGGGTGGACACTGCCCCCGGCCCCCCAGGGAGCCGCGGATCCAGATGTGGAATGCGGGGTGGACACTGCCCGAGCTCCGCCCGGAGCTGCAGATCCAGATGTGGAGGCGAGGAGGGAGGGGTGGACACTGTCGCGGATCCAGATGTGGAGAGACAGAGCCTTTGTCCTGGGCTCTGTCTGGAGCTGAAGGTCCTCATTGGAAGGGGGCCCTGCCCTGGGGTCCCATCAGATTCTCCAGCCCCAGAAGTGGATGTGGGGGGATTTCCTTGGGCTCCGGGCCCCGCCGACCCCTGGTTCCTGCTTCATCTTCCCCTTCCTCCATTCCCAACTCTTCCACACTCCAGGACCCCCAAATCCTCCTCACCCGCTCTGTGAAATGCTGGGACCCCCATACCAGCACCCCCCCCCCCCCATTCCAGCAGCTCTTGTGCTCTTGCTCCTGTGCAATCCCAACAACTGTGCTGGGATCCCGCCATTCCCACCTCCCGTGGGGTCACTCGGGCCAAATCACTCACAAACTTGGCCACGATCCTGCCAACACCCTCCCAGCTCCCTCCAGCCGCTGATTCCAACCCACAACAACCCCCCAGCAGCGTCAGGGAAACACCAGACGAGAGATCCACGGGGAGAGGGAAACTCAGGGCCGCCATGGAGGGCACCCTCATCCCTGAGGGTCCGGCAAGAAACGAGTCCTGCAGTGCCAGACATTCCACAAACCACACCGGAGACGGGGAAAAGGGAAAAGCCCAGCCCACGGAGGAATAAACAGCCTGTCTGGAGCATCCTTTGGAGAGGGCTCCAGCCCTCCTTTAGGCTTTGTTTCCATCCCTGAGTCACGTGTGATCCCGCTGTGAGGGATTTACATGAAAGGCGCCGCATGAAAGGCGCTGGAGGGAGCAGGCGAATGAGGGAGACAGAGCCCCAGGGAAGAGCTGAAGGGAGGGGGAAACCACGGAAATGGACCGATTGGGGCCGATTTCAGCGGCCGGTCACTGGATCCCTCCTGAGATCTGTGCTGGGAACAGGGAGTCAGTCTCCTGGAGCCTCTTTAGGCCCTGGAAGGGGCTCTAAGTTCTCCCTGGAGCCTTCTCTTCTCCAGACTGAACACCTCCAGCTCTCCCAGCATGACTCCAGAGCAGAGGGGCTCCAGCACTCGGAGCATCCTCTGGACTCGCTCCAGCGCCTCCCCGGGCCGGGCTGACCCCGGTTCCGCGGGCACACTCCGTAGTCAGCGCTCCGGGCAGCCCGGAGGTGTGTGCGCTGCCCTGCCCGAACACGCACCCGCCGCGGGGATGCCACGGGAACAGCCCCATCCCTCGGGATTCACTGCCTTGGCACCCCCCGGCACCCCCCTGGGCGGGCAGGTGTGCGCAGGGAACACCCTCCGGGGTCACCCGCAGCCCATCCACAGGGAATCGTGCCCCCCTGGCAGGTCCAGCCAGGGGCACAAGAGTGCAGAAAGGAACCCAAATCCCTTCAATCTGACATCACGTGGCTGTCCTGCAGATACAGTCTCTATTGATCCCAATATCCTGTGGATATAGAGGTTCTATTGATCCCAGTATTCTGTGGATCTAGAGGCTGTATTGATCCCAGTATTCTGTGGATTAGAGGCTCGATTGATCCCAATATTCTATGGATTTAGAGGCTGTATTGATCCCCATATTCTGCTGATAGAGAGGCCATCCTGATCCCAACATTCTGCAGATCTAGAGGCTGTATTGATCCCAATATTCTGTTGATATAGAGGCATATCCACATGTAGATGGGATATAGATCCCAAGGGTGAGCACATACTGGTGTGAGGCAGTGAGTACCCACAGCTGTGGAGGGGAGGGGTCTGGGGGTTCTGGAGGTGGCCAAGCCCTGGGTGACGACCCAAAGCCTCCTGGGTCTGTCCTGGGATCTGGAAACCACCCATGTGACAGAGGTAGGGTGGCCAACGAGCCAGTGTGTTCGTTCCCAGCTCCTGGCACACTGATTTCAGGGCAGCCATTCCATCTGTGCCTCAGTTTCCCCATGCCCTAGACAGCAGCACAGTGTGGGGTGACCCTGTGGCCACCAGATGTGACGGTCACCACAGCCACACCACGGCCAGAGCGGGGCCGGGACAGCCCCGGGACAGCTGGGGAGGGGCAGCTGGCCAGGGGAAGGGAAGGCTTCCCATCCCAAACCACAAGCCAGCACAGGGAAGTGCCCAAGACCTGCCTGGGCTGCCCTGGCACTGCTCAGGGTCCCAGCTCGGCAGTTGGAAGAGCCAAGCTGTGCCAGAGCTTGTTTTGCAATCCCAGCTCAGGTCGGGAAGCAGGAGGAGCGTGGCCCTGGCTGCCCAGGCACGTCCAGCCTCCTGCAGCAGCTCGTGCCTCCCGGAGCCCACGGAGCCGAGGCTGGTGGGGCAGCTTCTGCCCCAGAGCAGTGAGCACTTCCTGGAGCTGGAGAAGCCTCATTTTCCCCGGGGGAGGGAGGAAGAGATAAGAAGATGGATAAGGGGAATTTTGGGTTATTTACTTGGTGCTCTGTGGCTTGTAAGAGTCCTCGAGTCCTGCCTCCTCCTCCGCCTCCACCTCCCGCTTGGCGTTGGAACTCCATGAAAGGGGCTGGAGTGCTTCCAGAAGCACTGGGATGGGCTTCTGCAAAGGATCACGGGAGGACAAGATGAGATTTAGCATGTCCAATCCACAAAAAACAGAACTTTGCCTGAACTCAGATCCACCCAGCCTCCCACTGCCCCCTCCATCCTACACAGGAGACACAGCCGGGTTTGCATCCTGGTGGTGCCGCCTGTCCCACTGCCAGCTCTGGGACTGGGGCAGCTCAGGGTCCTTCTCTGAGCCCCCCTGGTGCTGGAGGAGCCAAGCTGAAGGTGGCTGTCCCACGTCCATGCCCCATTGCCCCCTTTCTCCATCCCAGTTTGACATGCCGGTTTGTTTCCATCCCAGCTGAAATCCCAGGCTCCGGGGAGTGCGGAAGAGCTGCGGTGTCTGCAGATGCTCAATCAGCAGCCCGAGGGCTCCAGCCTGGAGGAGCTGAGCAGCAGCCAGACCTGCCTCAAGCTGGCCAGCACCATCAAAGCCTACGTGGCCACGGTGAGCCTGGGGAGCAGGGGAGGATGGGAGACCTCCTGGCTGCCCCCCTGCCTCAGTTTGCCCATCCACCTCCCTGCAGGGGTAGGAGGGGGGGAATGGTAAGGATGGTTTAAGGAGGGGGCTGGACCCAGGCCCTCCACAGCAAGGAGATGGTGGGGCACAGAGACAGTGTTACAAACAGGGTGACGGGGGCTTGGAGGAGGAGCTGGGGTGTGGGAAACCCCTGTTTCACCTTTAACCGTGGGACCTTCTCCTCTCTGTGGCCCAGGTGACAGAGAACATCCTCCGCAGGAGCGCAGTGAAGGGTGAGTCCCTCTCCCAGCTCCGGGGGAGCAGCCGGAGCTGGGATCCACATGCACACACCGGGATGTCAGCAGCGGGGGGGCTGGTGGGCTCCAGCCCTGACTCTGGTGCTGTGAGCTGGGCGGGAGAGGGGAGAACCTTCCCACTGGGTGGTGAAGGGCACAAGTCCCAGGAATGGGCTGGAGGGACAGCCATGTCCACCTGTCTGGAGTCCAGGGAACCAGGGCCATGGGATAGCTCAGACACGTTAGATAATGATTGACAAGACCCCGAATAACCTTTCTCTCTGATGGGTCAGTGGGGCATTTCCCTGCCCTGCTGGCACAGGGCTGGGTGTCCCCACACTTGGTCCTCTACAGCTGATTGTCCCTGTCCTGCAGAGGCCTGGCGGAGCTACTTCAACACCTCGGAGGGGCAGGTTCCTCCCAAAACAGCCGGGAAGCCCTCGGCACATCTCACCCTCCGCCCTCAGAGCCTGACCCAGGATGGTGAGTCGAGGTGCACCAGTGGGTTTCCAAGATGGGAACAGGGGAGAGGACTCCCCCAAAGGGCGGGTGACCAGGACAAGGAGGTTGGGGAGCCCCACTGAGCACCAGGTGGTGTCCGAGATGGGAACAGGGGAGAGACCTCTCCCAAAGGGCAAAGGACCAGCATGGGAGGAGATGTTGGGTGACAGATGGGGACCAGTCCAAGGCCACCTTCCCCATCCCTCCAGAGTGGGAGAGAGTTAGAGCCACCCCCTCCCCTTCACCTGAACCTGCCAGGCCGCTCCCCTCAGTGACCCTCCCTTTCCCCAGGAGCCTCGGAGCGCTTCGGGAACCTGTCTCAGTCGTGCCGCCACGCCATCACCCGCTGGGAGCACAGCACCCTGCACTCCCACCTGCAGAACATCACCTACCGCGACGGGCGGCTCCGGGTCGAGCAGCCGGGCAAGTACTACGTGTACTCCCAGATCTATTTCCGCTACCGCAGCGCCGGCGCCCAGGAGTCGGGCCCGCAGCTCGTGCAGTGCATCCAGTGGCAGCCACCCCACAGCCAGCCCATCCTGCTGCTCAAGGGCGTGGGCACCAAGTGCTGGGCACCCGAGGCGGACTACGGGCTGCACGCGCTCTACCAGGGCGGACTGTTCGAGCTCAAGGCCGGCGACGAGCTCTTCGTCTCCGTGTCCTCCTTGGCCATCGACTACAACGACGCAGCTGCCAGCTACTTCGGGGCCTTCCGGCTCGACCTCTGACACCCCCTCTGCTCCCACCTGCCCGCTGATGCTCCCACGTGGCCCCGGGACAGCGGCCCAATGGCCAGGGGGTGGCACAGGGTCCTTCCCAGTGTGTCCTGTCCTTTGCGGTGAGGGACAAACCAGAGAGGGCACGAGGCGCGGCTGCCCGCAGGGACCTGCTGTGCTTGGGGCCACCATCCAGGTGGGAGGAAGCCTGAGACCCTGGAAGGGTCCCCAAGGACTTACAGAGGACATGCATGATGGGAGACATCCCAGCCCTGGTGGCACATCACCTCCCAGGCCCTGCAGCAGGAAGGGCACCAGGGCCACACCTGCCATGGCAAGACACAGTGTCCCCGTGATGGGGTGACCCTCCACGAGTCTGACCCCACCTCGGGCAGGGACAGCCCCAGCTGGGCTGTGGGTGCCAGGGACCCTGGGCTGGAGGTGCTGGGGCAGCAGCCAGGGTGAGCAGGGAGCAGCAGCACAGGGGGCACAGGGCTGGCACCCCCAGAGGGGGCACAGGGCTGGCACCCCCAGAGGGGGCACAGGGCTGGCACCCCCAGGCCACTGCCTGCAGGGATGAGGCAGATCCAGTGTCAGCCTCTGGAAAGGAGTGAAGGAGTTTCGGTTTGGGCAGATCAGAAACCTGGGGCCACACCGGTGATGGGCTCCAGGGAGGGCAAAGAGCAGGACGGCGACGTCGGAGCAGTCGCCAGCCCCGGCACCACACCCGGCACGTGGCACTGGGGAGTGTGGTGCCCAGCCAGGCTGCACAGGACCAGGAGCTCTCCATCACTGCTGCCCAAGCACCTCCTCCCTTGGGGATTTTGTCCCCCCCAGCCCTGAGGGACCAGCGCAGCCCCCGCTTCCTCACCCCTCCAGCCCTGGCAGTCCTTCATCTGCAGGATTCCAGCACCGGGTGAGCCCAGAGGTCATGGCAGGACCTTGGAGGGACCAAACCCACCCCAGGTGATGGAGGCCACCTCAGAGGCCAAAGAGGGGTTCAGGCAGGGCCCAGCCCAAGGCCCAGCCAGACCCCAGGGTGCCACAGTGGGTCCCCACCACGCCATGGCTGGGCAGGGGCTGCTCCTGGCTCCTGCCATTGCTCCCACAGCTTTCCAGGCCTGACCCCCCCCTGCATCCTTGGCTGGGCCTGGGGGGCTGAGCCAGGTGGTTCCCACATCCCTCCACACCCCCAGGTGCTGGGCATTCCCACTCACCAGCCCCCATCTCCTGCAGGCTCCTGCTCCAGGGGGGCTGACACAACCCTCCCAGGGGCACGGTGCCACCCTGGCACCCGGAGCCTCCCTCCAAAAACTCATCCAAAGCCAGAGAGCGCTGAGAGCATCCTCCTGCCGCCTCCAAGGGGGTCACAGGGCTGATCCCCCCGTGGCAGGGCTGCAGGGTCCCATATCCCCAGTCACCACGGGGGGAGGGAGGAACAGAGGGGTGGAAGGACAGAGGGAGCTGAGCTGAGCCTCAGCTCTGCAGCACTTGGCCCTGGGGCACGTTGGGCTCTTGCCCAAAGCAAACAAAACCCGAAAGCGCATTCCAAACCCTTCCATTCCAAAACCACGTTGAAAATGATCCCTTTCCCTCCACCTCTCATCCCACCTCCTCCTGTCCCAGCCACCTTGGTGACCCACAACAGGAATGGGGCTTCCAGGGCTCTTGACATCCCCACCAGTCCCAAACTCCCCCCTTGGTGAGCACTGAGCTCATCCCGGCTCCGCATCCTGCCTCCTCTGGCAGCAGCCACGGGAGCTCAGGGCTGAACCAGCCAAGCCAGGGCTGCAGGAAATGCAGCAGGTGGTTCCAAGATTTCCTTTGAAAGGGGGTTTAAAGTGGACATGGCCCGATGGAGCCGGCAGGAGGTTGTGTTTGCCGGGAAGGAAGCAGGGAAAGCAGCCCCGTGTGCATGAGCGGGGAGAGCCGGGCCCGGCGCCAGCGGGCCATGGGCCACTCCACTTTCCTGGAAAGGAGAGGGCTCGTGGGTGGATGGATCGGGGAAGGAGAACTCCACCAGCGTCAGGGCAAAGAGCAGCCTCACCCCGTCTGGGGAGAGATGAGTGGTGCAAAGAGAGATGGGATGGAATTCCTCTCTGTGAGGGCGGTGAGGCACTGGCACGGGTTGCCCAGAGCAGACTCAGCCCCCCCTCTGCCCCTTCCCTGCCCTGGTGCTTCCAGCAGATGGGCTCAGCCTGGCCAGGGACATGCAGCCTGGCTGACTGTTCCCACCTGGACAACACCTGGATTGGGTGGCAGCAGAAAAACCCAGCCTCCACCAAAACCTCCCTGCACCAACACTGCCTGCCCCAGGACATGCTCCAGGGAGGAGAGAAGAATAAAGTGTGGAGAGACCTGGGTGAGGATGCAACACTTTTCTCTAACTGAGGAAGTAAATAAACCAAAATATGGAAGACTTCTCATAGAGATTTTTTTTTTATTCTTAAAGTTGTTTATTAAAAAAGACATCTCACTATTTTAACTTGAGTATTCCTGACAAGTTCACTGTAGGTCCTATTGGAGAGTCAATGGTCACTAAATCACTTTTGCATCAAAGGATTGAGCTGATCCTGCTACATACTTCCCAAAATCTGTTTTCTTTAGGCTTTTTTTTTTAAAGACAAGCAAGAGTAGAAACACCACCAATTCCTGAGGTCTTGGAAGGAGGGGTGTGGTGGAGCCACAACAGACATTTGCTTTCAACAGATTCATTACTAAATAATGTCACAACAGTCCCCCTATCTGGGGAAACTCTTTATTTCTGGCATCACCAATTCACTTCATTTGCATCTAACTCAGTCTGGGGAACAATGCAGTTACCTCAAATACTTCTACAAACATAGTGCCCAAAGTCTCACCTGGTACTGCACTGTTGGACATGCTCAGCAGCAGCAGAGGCTGTGGCCTTCCCTCTGGATGCCGGCCAGATCCCTCCCTCCAGCTGAGGGCAGAGCTGGGTGAGGCCAGGGCAGGTGGGGACGTGCTGTGGGAACACAACACGTGCCCTGGGGGAACGGGAGCCTCAGTGCAGGGACCAAACCTCTCCCACAGTGAGGAGCAGTTTGGCTTTCCAGTGCCAAAGACAGGGCAGATCATCCCACACAATCCAGGGCTGCTTTCCCAGTGCCTCCTGTGCCAGCACATCCCTCCAGCTCAGAGCAGTGCAGATGAAATAATGAAATTCCCCAAAACCGAGAGCTCCAGCTCCCCAGGCAGCACATCCTTGTGGTGACAGCTCCAAGAGCTCCCAGCCCTTCCTCGATAGCCTTGGGCTAAAGGATGGTAGGGTTAGATGGGATATTGGGAAGGAATTCTTCCCTGGGAGGGTGGGGAGGCCCTGGCACAGGTTGCCCAGAGAAGCTGGGGCTGCCCCTGGATCCCTGGAAGTGTCCAAGGCTGGGTTGGATGGGGCTTGGAGCAACCTGGGCTGGTGGAAGGTGTCCCTGCCCATGGCAGGGTGTGGCTGATCTTTAAGGTCCCTCCCAACCCAAACCATTCCATGAGTCTATGATCCCCTCCTGCTCTAAACCAGAGGGGTGGGGGGGTCACTGCTGCACTAATAACAATTCCACATTGACCTGATTTCTCATGGCCTCTCCACGTGGATTCAATCCAGGCAGAAACTGCTTCCTGCAGCCACTGACAAAGGACCCTCTTATCTCCCCTGCAGAGGAGCTGCTTTTACCTCAGTGCAGAGGAGCCCAGCCCAGGGCGTTCACGGCCCCGACCCTTTGTCTCTAAATAAATCCTGCGTTCAAAGGCTCTTTTTTTTTCCCGTTTGTTGTTACGAGCCAGCCTCATCACTACCTCCAAGTCTCCATCTCCTCCCAGACAAGATCTTGTTTTACTTTCAAGTCCCCAGCCCGGCCCGAGTTTGTGGCGGGAGGAGGAAATCCACTCCAAAAAAACACGTCACCGCCCCAGGAAATCATTCCTCGGGACATTGTAAATAAAGCACACAAAGAAAGGCAGCGGGGTGTGACCCCACCACCGCTGCTGGCACCCCACGCTCTGCCCCAGGGTGCGCAGGGCACCTCACCAGCCACCGCTCCCCCCCAGGCAGTAATTCAGCCTGGAAAAAGGGAGACAAAACCAGAAACCCTTTTTGCTGCAGCACGAAGGATTCGTGGAGCTGCAGGAGGCGGGACGCTCGTTAAACCCTTGGGAAAACATTCATGCTGGGGCACCGTGACCAAGCGGAGGGGACCCAGCGCTGCCGCAGGCAGGAGCCCGCAGTTCATCCATCACGGAATCACAGACGGTTTGGGTTGGAAGGACCTTTAAAGGCCATTTAGTCCGATCCCATCTCAGCCGTGCTGCTCCCAGCCCCTTCCCTGAGGTCCCACTGAGGAAGTTAGGAGGATTTCTTTGCTCCGCACGGGGTTTCTCTCCTTTTCCAGTGCCAGTTGCCTTTCCCTGCTCAGCCTCTGGCGCGCAGCAGCAGCCCCCGATTGCAGCGGCTGCTCCTCCCCATTCCTCCCCATTCCCTCGCAGACACATCCCCGCTGGCAGCGGCCCCGGCCCCGCCCCGGCTCTGCCCTTGGGAATGACGGAGCTGTACACAAGGAAAGTGCTGAGCCAGCTCGATCCAGGCTCACGGGCCTCGTGCACCGCAGACACGCAGTTTTCCCCTTTATTATCTCCCCAACGAGACGAGCTGGAGGCACCAGGAAAAGATAATTCCACTTTTAAAGAAAATTCTCCGTTTTCTGTCCCGTTCAAACCCCAGCTCTAGGATGGAGTCCTGGAATCACAGACTGGTTTGAGTTGGGACCTTAAAGACCAGCTCCTTCCAAGCCCCTGCCACGGGCAGGGAGGCTCAAAGTCACCTGGCCCCCACTCCCATCCTGCATCCAACAGCTGAGCACAGCCAGCCCTCAAACCCAGGAGACTCCCAAATATCATCTGTCATAAAAAGGATATGGTAACCCCCTCCAGGTCCCTTCCTCCTGGGTTACTCATCTCCAGCTCTGACCTGCATCCACAGCTGTCTGCTGAAGGGAATCCCAGGGCTCCTCCTGGAGTAAAGAGCAAGAACTGGACAGGGCAAAACACTTCTCAGGAGCTGGAAGTGCCCCAGGGAAGGGGTTTCTCAGTTTCTCTGCTGCACAGAGGTTTTGATGAATCCCAGACTGGTTTGGGCTGCAAGGACCTTGAAGCTCATCTCGTTCCACCCCCTGCCATGGGCAGGGACACCTTCCACCAGCCCAGGCTGCTCCAAGCCCCATCCAACCCGGCCTTGGACACTTCCAGGGATCCAGGGGCAGCCACAGCTTCTCTGGGCAACCTGTGCCAGGGCCTCCCCACCCTCCCAGGGAAGGATTTCCAAACTAACCCTGCCCTCTGTCAGAGTGGAGCCAGAAAGGGATTTTGTAGAAATTAAAGGAATTTTGTAGAAATTAAAGGAATTCAATGAAAGCAGATGGGGAACAGCCAGGAGCTGGTATAGCCCACAGCTCAC